AGCAGGACACATCATCGTTGATAGGAGCAAAAAGTGCTAGCAATAGTTCCAACAACAACTGTTGGTAGCGTGTAAGTAGTAAAAGTACAGTACGTTTTCAGTTTCAGCAGAAAAAAGTGTGTTAATGCACTGTTTTAGCACTTCTAAGCTCCTTAAACTGCTGCTGCTGCTGCTGCCGCTGCTGCTTTTATTGCCTTTGCTGTTGGCTTACTTCTCACTTAAATTGTTGGTTGTTAGTTGTTGTTGTTGTCGCTGTTGCTGTTGCTGTTGCTGTTGTTGATATGTAAGCTATGAAGTTCTGTTACATTCAACTCAATGCTTAGCAACTAAACGATATAACTGTTGGAACTAAATCCTGCTGTTTCGTCAACATTGCGCCTGAAAGTACTTTACGATTTTTTTCCATAAACATTTTCAGATTAATATTATACAAAATCTGATATGCTGTTCACTTATGTAGTACTTTAAATACCACTATATATGTTGTGTTTATAGTTATCTATACAAATCCAAAATTTAAATATTTTCACCCCTGTCGAAATTTGAAAATCTATTAAATTTCTTAAATACAATTCTTTGAAACTTACATATATTTAAAGAGCACTTCTGCAGATTAAATATTTTGACTTCCTTTCCGTTTTCACAAATATATATATATGAGTATGTATATGTTTTTTTTTAAGTACATGAAAAATATTATAATCCCTTGCATAAGCACAACATCAGGCTTATTTGCTATTATACATTTAAGATTGACCGGAAATGTTATTTTAATTTCCTGCCCAGCATAGCCGCCTGTTTACATTCAAAAAATGTATGCTAAATATTTGATTAATACACATATGTATCCGTGCCCCATGCCCATGTGTTTATAATTTTAGGGACGCATATTGTTTGTTATATGTTATTGTCGTTTTTGTAGCTTTTAAAAAGAACTTTTTTTTTGGATTTAATTTTTTTTTCTCTAAATTTTGTACCGCACATATGCAAGTTGAAGTTGCACGTTGATAAGCTCTGTTTCCTTTTGTCACAGTTTGTTTTTAATGATTACTTTTAACGTGTCTGCGTGCACACAGACACTTACATCCTACGTATACGCTTTATATAATAATTTTTTTTTTTTTTGCATTTGTAAGTTTTTCTTTCTGTATTTGTTGTCTACACTCGTTAACTTCGCCTACATTTACTAGTTTTCATTTACCACATTTGTTAAACATATGCTCTGATATACGTTTTCTAATATTTCTAACTATGTTTTTTTTTACCTTTTCTGCTTTTTGCTATATTCATCTAAAACATTTTTTTTTAGTTTTTTCTATGATTTCTTTTACTCTCTGTTGCCTGGTAACTGGGTCATTTTTAGTTATTGTATCTAGTGACGTGTACCAGTAGGCATATGCCAACGAGCCTGACGATATGCTGCTGCATACAAAAGGCCGCGTTCTGTTCTTGGGTAATCAGCATACGTACTAGACCATAATGCATAGCTACGAATAGAAAAGAGGTCTGGCAGCTCTATTACATGTGCTACATTTATTATGTGCTTTTTGTTATTGTTTTTCTTATTGCTGTTGCAATCAACGCCTTTAAATATGCAATGTTATAAAAAGTTTACATAAGTTAAATTGAAATGTTTTAATTTACATGAAAAGTAAAATTATTTAAGTGTACTACTTGAAAGATATGAGAGACAATGAAGAAGTTATTGATCGAAATTTATATTTATATATATTTTCTTTAAATAAAAATAATATTGAAAGAGATATAGGTTAGGTTAGGTTCAGAAGGCGCGTGCTGACAATTGTCAGCACTTCCACTCGAGTGCATATATTGCCCATTGTGATGCCCTCAAAAATTTTCCTAGGAGAAGCGAGTTGCTAACCTTTGTTATCCTTGTTAAACCATTTGGTTTTCCAAATGAAATTGAGAAGATCCGACAGGCTCGTTATATCTTCCAAGCCAGTGAAAAACCGGCATTGTCTCCAAGATATTGAAGTCGCCTTGTCTGCAGTTCTGGACAGAGACACAGGAAGTGTTTGATAGATTCTACCTCCTCTTCATCTTGGCAACTTTTGCATTATCCACTCGTTGGAACTCGCCACCGTTGGAGCATACCCGTTAATACTCCAATAATTACATGAACTGCAGGTTCGCTAAAGTCTTAAAGGCTTTTCGTTTTATTTTTGTCCAAACTAGGCTATAAGGTTTTAGCCACTTCACAATCTTCGCGGTTAGTCCATAAAGAGATATAGTATAGAAATAAAATTAAAATTTTATGAGATCTTTTTTTCATTCCTGAAGCTTTGATCAAAACTAAAAAAATTTTATATTATCAGTTATCACATTTAAACAAACTTTTGCACTTCTCGCAATTAATTTTTAATTCTTTTGCTAATGGAAAATTATAAAACGCCATAATGTATGCTTTTAAATTATTTAGAATAGTAAAACCTTGCCAAAGACGCAATTTAAATAACCAACAAAAAAAAGTGTATGAAAAATACGTCGCATATAAATTTGACACCAATTGCTGCCACACGTGTACGTAAGCGCAGGCAAGCAACAAATATAATAACAACAAAAACAACCAGAACATAAGCAATAAAAACAAAACAATAGAACAGTTAAAATAACGCTTAAGAAGAGCACACTACGTACACACACACACACTCACATACACTCCACACTCATTCCCAACAAAAGCAAACCAAAATAGCTAGAATATTGGCAATTTCGCTATTATCTACAACAACAAAACAACAAAAGTGCAAATAAAGCCAAACAATAGCAACAAAAACAATGGCTGTGAGGTTAGCTGTGGCGTGGCGTGGCGGTGGCATCATCAACAATGGCAACACAACTAAAAAGCAACAGAGTGTCATCACTCTTTGATGTTATCAACATTAAAGTACTTTGCGGTTTATTTTTTTCTTCTTCATCTTTTTGCTCTATTTTGCTCTTTCGCATTTCTGTTTTTTTTTTTTGTTTTTTTGCTTTATATATTTATATTACATTTCTCCAACAACACTAACACATGAACATTGGCAGTAACATAATAACGATGTTTATTTTTTGACTTCATATTTGACTTGAACTTTTCACAAACGCTCACACACATACACATATACGCACACAAAAGAGCACGCACACTTTTCGATTTTTGTATATTATTTTTATACCATTTCAGCTCACTCCTCTCTGGTTTGTCTAGTATTTTTTTATTCTGGTAGCATAAAGCAATTTTATCTAAGCTCAAAATTCGAGTAGCAAACAAACTGGAAAAAAGTACTTCACACACAAAATTACCCTTTTCAATTTACTGCTCTGGTTTGAGTGGTTCTTAATGTATGAATAAAATAAAAATAATAAAATAAAATAAAATGATTTGACTATGTGTGTTTGTGTGTTTAGTGCTGTTTAGGTGCTGTTAACAGCATTTTTTTATAATAAAAAGTGTGCGCTTTTTACTATAGAAATGGAAAAGAATAGTGCCTGGAAACACGTTAAAATTAATTGGTTAGAAAATATTTTAAGTTTATATATTCATAGGCATTACAATTTAAAGGACACATGTGAATTTTGAGGTTAGTTTTGGCTTTGATTTTCGCAGCGTGTCGATCATTCTTGACTAATCGAGTGAAATCTTTAAAACTTTTAATGAGAAAGTTTCTAAAACTTTTTCATTTCATTTGAAAAAATTTTCTACCCCAATTAGCCCCAATTACTCTCTGAAATTTTCCCCCTCTGCTTCATAAAAGAGACAAACATAATTTTCACATTAATTTTATTATACAAAAATCAAAATATAATTTATTGCTTAATTTACTTCGATATGTGATAAAAAAATATTATGATAACATTTTTATCTATTTTTATATTTTCACTTTATTTTTGGTATTTATTTACTTTACTTTGATAAGTTTCTGATAATTAACTGAAGGGTTGAGTTCGCTTTGACTTTGATATTAACTTCCAACCCTGAACATATTCGATATATATATTTTCGTAACGATTTTATTTATTAATATAGTAGCTTAATAAGGTGTTGAATGTGCATAAATGTATATATGTAAAAAGTTCTAAAAACCCGACGAAAAGCACTTAAAATAATGAGATATACAAAAATATGAAATGTATGAGATAATAAATATAATTCAAATTAATAACTTCATAAAATCATGTATAATTTTATTGAAATATTTTAATTTATTTTCACTTAATTTTTATAGTACGAGAAAAATAACTTATCCGCATATACAAAGATTACTGAAATATATTCAAATTTTTAATCTATTTCTCTTTACCAAGCAACAAATATGTTGTTTTATTCTTATTTGTGGTAATTCAAGAAATTCATACCCAAAGTTTCTTACTTCTCGAGCGATTTCCAATTAAAAATAATTTAATTCTCTCTGTTCTTCAGTAAACATTTATTAACTACTTGCTACCTCTTTCAACAAACACAGTTTCTGTATTTATTGCTTCTCGACTGACGTGATCAAACTTTTTGGTAGTCATTGACTCACATGCCATCACTTTCACCAAGTCCTCCCCTCCCCTTTACGACTAATGTCATTATAAAAATCGATTCTTACAACTCCAATAAAGTAAATCTATTTTAACTAAATTTTTTATGAATATTGAATCAGCTTTAAGAACGTATTCATGATTAAAACTAGCAAACCCAACTTCCCACCCCCTCCCCCCATTACAATTCTTATTCTAATTCAAGTCTATGTATTTGTATAAACTTAATAACTTTGTTATTAAAAAGTACACATATAAGAGTTAATAATAAAGTAAATGATTGTTTAATGATTGTTTACTAATATAAATATTCAAAATAAAATATAAGGAAAATTCTCCTAACTATAGGAGATAAAATGGTAATAAAATAATCAAGCAATACGTTTTTATTATTTTTTTTTAATTTTTAATTCATCATTAATTATCAAAATTTTTTCGAAAGTATTTAAGTTCCTTTTTTTATATCTTTTTAGCGTGGTAGCGACGAACTTCTTAGTCAAGCAGCAATCATGGCCCCGGCTTCAGATAATAATAATCAAGACTTAGCCACGAAGAAAGCCAAATTGGAAACAAATGCTGTATTAGCTACAGTTGGTAAGTTCAATATTTTATTTGTTTTGATATTGAAAATAGATATATAGAGATTTTTATTCATAAGTTTTGGAACTTCACGTTCATTCAATGATTATTGAATTTATTTTCTAATATCACTGCGTAATTCATTTAATTATACTGATTTAAAAATCGTATGATAATTGTTCTTGCAATCACATCAATGTAAACACAATGTACAAATCAAAAACGACAAATTTGCAACAATAACAATGTTGTTCGTTTGGACATTTGTTTAGTTGAACACTGACTGCAGACATAAGTGTAGTGATAGGTTTTGCTTCATTTAAAATTAGTTTATATCAGTAAACTGATATAAAGTAAGTAAGTAATATTTACTTACTTAGTTGGCCATTACAGACGTGATGGCCAACCAATCCTGCCACTGGATTGGTAGTGCCGTGCGTCCCCAAATCGTAATTCATATATATTAACAAAGATTTAAATGTTAATTATAAATATAATAGTACCCTGGAGATAACTAAAGACTATTTATAGTCAATATATAGACTAAATATATTGGTGAGAAAAATTGTTATTTTTTAAAAAAAAATTTAAAAATATATAAAAAATTTTGTCATCAGAACCATTTACTATAAAAAAAGGAATAAAATAAAAAATAATAACTTCACGCAAGATGGTATTCCAACTTGGACGTTTTCGATTAAGAGTATATTAAATTATATTAACGCCTTATGAGGCCCTATGCTTCACTGGTAGATGAAGATGACAGAATAAGAAATTGTATAAGGATTCTATATAATTTGCTTATTTTTTTGTCTGCTCTTCTAGTGTAAATCAATATATATCATACTCCATTATTTAATATGCTCTCACGCTCAAAGCGCATAACATAGCCTTTTAATATTTCTATTTTTATTATATGACTGAAATTATTAATTAATACTAAATATTTTACTGATAGCTGTGGTTAGAAAATACCAACTCTTAGCTATTTCATGTTATAATTAACGTTCCAATAACCGAAAAATAAAATTTGCAACATATATTGACCACACATGTAAGTCCACAACATATGTGCCACATCCTTGAATTGTAAATAAATTAATTAACAGACGCAAGCAAGGAACAAAAGCAAATTTTTCAGTAAACCACAAAAATGGCAAACACTGAAATCCACAAAAAAAATCAAAAAGTCCTTAAAATGATATGCAAAATAAACAATTCCATAAAATCAATCAGTAACAGCTGAAATCTACACTTCGCAGTCAGATAGAGATAGTGCACTGTGCCCGCCGCTCCGCCAAAGTATCGGTTTCATGAAGAAAATGGCAAATCATAAAATGACCTCACCAGCACATTTGACTCTTTCACTTAATATTTATTGAACCTCAACGGCTGTGCACATATAAACCTATATATTTACCATCTATTTTATGTAGACTAATTTATATTTGAACCATAAAAGTTACCGCCAATATAAATATCATTAAAATTCGCCCATAAATCAACATACGAAAATAATGAACGCAAACACGCCGTGCGCCGCCAATACACGTTTAATATATGACACAGGCCGAGACCGACCCGACCCTATGAATACACCACAGATATTGTAGTGTTGTACAGTTAGTGTGGTGGGTATTGGTGTGTATGCATGCATATATCAATTGTGTACAGTGAAATTATTAATTACACATTTTACGACCGATAATGCGTAGCTGGTAAGAGTTATGGCTACGTGGAGTGGCCCACGTAGAGTGTACCTACGTAGTAAATTGAAATCCTTAAAGCGAAGGAATTACTTACGTGCAGAAAAACTATGTGAATAAAATCTATATTATGAAGACTATAAAAATGAAGCTTTTCATAGTTCATTTAAACAAAAATAAATTTAAGAAAATTAGTTTAAAACTGTATATATTGAGTGAATAACGCTTTTGCATTAAAGCAAAAGCACTCTAAAAAATTTTAGATGCATACTTAAACGTTTTAGCTATATAAAATGATTTTTTCTTTTTTCAAATTTGGTATTTAGTATGTTTAGTATACATTTAATAATAGACTTCGCAACAAAAACTTCAGTCAATTAGACCCTCAATATCTTACTGATTGAATTATTTGAATAACTTAAATCAGAAACCATGTTTTAATAGATATCATAAGATTTTAATAAAAATAGAATGAACTATTAATAGTTACACCTCTACCAGAATTATTTCAGATGTCGAATCAAAGTTATAAAATAATGTTTTATTTAATTAGTAATATTAATAGTTCTCATATTTAGTTTTAACAGTATGTTAATATTTTATTAAATTGAAGTATGTAACTATTTATATAATTTACCTATGTAAAACAATCCCTGGAAGACCACTAGACCCTGAAGTACAGAGTACAATATGTGTGATTGCATTTAATTTTCGTGATCCTTATCGTACTCTACACAAATGCGGCAGGCTCCACTTGCACTTCTGTATAGTTATCTGACAGCCACTAGTTAACGAACTAATAGTGCTAACAACGTATCCTATTCCTAGGACTTTAAGTTTGGGTTGGACACAACATTTGACGCCTGCCACGTAAAATCAGTACCGCTGGTAAAGAAACTTCAAAATTGAAAACCGAATGTTAATGAATTCCGAAAACGGCATAAAGATTATAATTTAAGGATATGTGACTAAATCATAATTTATTATTGGAATTCAATGGAGCTCCTATTTCAGTAGACCAACTTAATGATCATAGATGCCATTGACTGAAAATACTTTAGACACTAACTCACGTTTGATTAAGCTCCACTACAGAAGATGAAGTGTTGGTATATCGGAACACTCAATAGGAAAGGAGCTTCTACTCAACTGGTGGATGCTGTCAATAAATGTAAGACTGATTACACCGTCATGCAAGTAATGCACTGGAAAAGATAAGGCTGCTTTAAAAGAGAAATTTTGGTATCCATTACAACTGCTTGAATTTGGATGTAGTTTTGTAATTAACAAAAGACTTTCGGTGGCTCCCACTAGTGAACGAAACGCTTACTTACTATCTACATTAAATAAAATTAATTTATCTCATTTGTTTTTATGTAGATTTTTATGTGGGTTTCTCTTTTCTTCGTTCAAATATTTTTGTGCTATTTCAATTAAATATTTAAAACTCAACCAACATATAACAAAAAATACTTTATAAATCTCACTCTATAACCATTTCTAATTACTCACCATAAAAATTTATAATACAGCCAGCACCAATATACAGTGTTCACATAAAGTCACCTTAAATTTAAAGCCATTCCCTACTCTTACATTATTTTAACACCTGCTATAGATTCCCATTACACACTCAAAGTTTTGCCAAAACACTTCAACTCCTTTTCGCAACATTTTTTCATTCAACCGCAAAGCATAATATTTATTTATTACTTTACAAAGGACTTTTCTATTAATTAAAAAGCAACAAACTTACATTTTGGTGCTACAACGCAGCAGGACAACTACCAGTTACAATAACACGAAACGCCAACACGCAAACAAACTTGACTAGTATGCATGCAAGCAAGCATGTGTGTGCTGCATACAAGCACTTTCGGTAATACAGACAAAGCCATAACAAAACATGATTTTGGTATTTGCACGTTCATTCGCCGTGGCTGTGGAGAAAAAAATGTGTATTTGATTGCTATTGTATTGCGTTATTTCGCCTTACCTTACGTTACGTTGAGTTGAGTTGAGTTGTATTACGTTACGTTACGTTTTTCTAACATTGGCATTTTTATAACCAAAAGTGAGGGAAGATGCAAAAAAAAATTTAAAAGCAAACGGAAATACAGTAACTGCACCTTAGGGTATTTTAATTTTTTGGCTAAAGTTTTTATATTAGCAAAAAATAAAAATATAGTCCTTTTTTTATTGAACGGTATTATGGAGTATAAGAATTTGATGTTATATTAAAATATCTTTAAAAAATTTAGTTAAAATTTTGAGTAGTAAAATGAATTTAAAGGAACTAATAAAGTTTATTCTAAATGTTATATATTATTTACTTCTGTAAGTCTACCTGAAGAAATCATTATCAGAGATTATTGAGTAAAAGTGCTTTAGACCACTATTCGCGTTTTATCAAACAAAAAAAAAATTACTGAAAAATCAATGATTTCTAAATTATTTTGCAAAAAAATTAATTTTCAAATTTAATTTAAATATTTTAATTTTTTTAGGGGTCTTATGTGGTACGAATCATTTTCGCGTTCAGTCTCCTGCACTCGCCAGAAAATGTTAATTAACTTTATCATCGTTTTTTTAATTTCTGTACGATTGTAGGAATCAAAGCAATTTTCTGTACTATTAAAATGACAATAGTTTCCTGGTCCAAAATAGATTTTTTAAAATAGTTTGCATTAAAAATCTTAATATATCCACATATAGAGTCTAGGTGAAGTGATTTTTTTGAGACGGGCTAACATTGTTTATGACTGTTTAATCATTTTAGGTGTCACCAATAATCTACCCTTCAATGCCTTATAATCGCCTGGTAATGTTTATTAACTTAAGTGTCTTTCTTCTTAAAACCTTTGCCTGAAGTTGGAAATAATTCAAGCCATTTTCATAGTATTAAAATCTGAGAGTGGATTCCGCTCCAAACTAGATCGTTTTAAATGCTAAACGTGTCATCGTAATAGGTCCGTATAAAGATACTAGGTGATTTAATATTTTTTATAAGACAGGTTGTCACTGATATATACCATTTACTAGCACTGATAATCTAATGCAATTGCAATGCTCAAAAGATTAAAGCTATGCTTATGTACACTTGATATTTTATTATTTCTTTAAAAAAAATATAGCTAAACATATATAAAATATATATATAATATAAATATATATAATATAAATATAAATATATATATATATAAAAATATAGTTAATTTCTATAAAAAATACATAAAAAAATCACAAATAAATAAACGTAATAAGAAATAAACATCCGAAGATATATACACATATTTTTTTTTAGTAGCA